ATGCCGACGACCCTGTGGTCGTGACAGGTGAGGGTTATCAGACTTCCCAATTTTTTTCGGCGTTGCGGTAAGCTTTCTAGTTCCACGCCATCCAATTTCCATCGTACCTTCGCCGATCTGGAGACTCCAAAGAGGTAAACCACGTTCACTTCCGACTTCGGGTTGTTCCTCCGCTCTTGGAAAGTAATAAGGCTTAGGTTTTTCGCGGCGGCATGCACGACGAAGGGCGGATACGGATAGTTTATAGTCCGACCGTCACCTATAAATTTTCCGGCAGCTTTCCTTCTGAATTCGCATAGGTTCCTTGTCTTCAACCCGGGGCCCTTGTCGTCTTTCGGATCTCCCGTTGATTGGCCTGTTACGAAGACCTCCCCTCTTTTCGTATAGTTGAAAGCAAAAAAATCGACCGTCAGCCTAATTATGTGGTGTCGGTCTTGCCTCAAGAATTCCGTGTCAATTTCGACGACCGTCATCCTCCCGCTAGCTCAAATCGTAGTCGACACCGAACCCTCGGGCACGGGAATGCTGTCTTCTCTGTGCTCCTCGTGATCGTGGCTCGACAAGACGCCCTCCGCGAGGACATTGAATCTCCGATTCCCCCACTTTCGGCCGTAGAAGTTTAACGTTGACGTGTCTCCCACGTGCAGTAAGTTTTTCTCGATCACGACGTCTAATTCGGTATTCAGCTCGTTGCACGGATGACTCCTCGGAAGACCCGCGCTTTTCGGAGGAGGTAAGTCGTAGCAATTTTCGGTCGCTCCTCCTGACAGAAAAGTTAGCCCTCCCTCGTAACAGGTGTCGGGGCGACCGAAGTTATCGGTCTTTCTGTCGAAGTAGTAGCAGGCGAGAGAGCCGTTTCTTCTCACCTGGACGGCGGGGTCGGGTATGCTGAACACGCTGTCCTTACACACGTTCGCGTGATATTCGACGAGAAGGGGAGGTGCGTCGGCTTTCGCGATTTCCACCCAAGCGTTCGCCGTGATCTGCCCGTACGAGCAACCGTTCAATCCTGCATTCCGCAACTTGACGTTGACGATGATCAGCATGTGTTCGTGACCGTCATTGCAAACTTGACGATGACTCCTGTCGACGCCCACGTCCTTGCCGTTTTTCGTCCAAGACACCGAGAAGGTCGACCGCGTCGTCGTACATCTCAGGATTATCATTCCCCTGACTTTCGGTATCTGCACCTCGGGAAACAAGGAAACTTTCTCCATCCTACCGCGGTCGTCCTTTCACAGAACAGGTCCACGGACGTCGACAGTCTCGCTTCCTGGCCGACGAGAACTTTCACCGAGTTGCTCACCACGCCGTTAGAACCGGAACAAGCGTAGAGACCTTCGTCGGGCGCGGTTACGTTTCGCAAACGAAGAGAATGAATCAACCCGCACTCTTCGGCCAACGTTTTTTTCCTCTCGAGCCGGGTTGGGCATAATCCAAGTAATGATTACGGGTTGGAAAAAGTAGCACACCAAGTTTAACCAACTGCCCTCCGCGACGGAGCGCGCGTCCGTTGCAATGATGACACCTTTCGCATTGCTCAACCTACGACACGGATCGTCCGGCAGGATGCAACAGATCGACTTTTCCGAAAACTTGCATTTTTCTCGGTCCGCTTCTATTCCCCGATCGCTGTACAACGCAACGACCGCTATATTATTCGACGCACAAGGTACCATCGTTGCGAGAATCTCGATGCTCTCGAAGTCTCCGACAGTTCCCATGGAGAAGTCACCGTCGAGGTTGAGGTGAGTGTACATCCCTTCTAACCCTGTCTCTTATACACATCTCCACAACGCGAGCGTTCCGGTGACTCGTCTTCCAGGTTCTGGAAGCGGAAAAGTAATCGTTGGAATAGCACGAGTATATTCCGGAAGCGTCGAGGTCGACTCCGACCACCTTCAGCATGCTGGTCGTCTGGTCTTCGGTGACGTGAACGGTCGCGAAACCCACTCTCTTATTCGGCAACTGCCAACGGACGTCCAAGGCATTTTTCTTGCCGTGGTAGCATCTCAGCCCGAACGTCGAGTAGGGTCTGACGACCAGGAAGTTCCTGTCTATCTGGAGGACAGAGCCTTCCCCGAAACAAAGGATCGTTGTCAGAACCGCCAAGACTAGGACGGTCTTCATCGTTTGGATCACCCGACAATGCCCGTCGACTAGTTACAACAACGTAAATAAAATACACACGCACAGCAAACAAATATACGATATACTTCTTTTCGTTTAATGAAATACTAGATAAAATAAAACTTATTCTAATCGTAAATTTTTAACGTCGAACAGACTAATAGCACGCTCAACAGAACTCCGAACGCCGTTGCGGTAGATACGCGTTCGGA